CCAATGCTCATGTATATTATGGAGCATTAAAGGCTGGTCCTTTTCTAAAAGGCTAATAGTGTGAGCACAAGGAAGCCCCATTGTATTTGAGAAGGATCTGGTACACAAAGGCAGGGGCTTCTGAACTGTTGCACGGTTTGCTTTTTGGTGCTGCTCATTTATCTTTCTAAGGGCGAAAGTTGTAACTTTTCCTTTAATATTCATATATAAAGGATTATTGAGCGCAAAAAGTGGAATATGGATACGTTCAGATGCAACCATCGCATCAAATTCTTTCTTTTGATTAGATACTACCTAGTTTATTTTCAAAATTTTAATATTTATTATATTGTGTTTATTAAATAGGAATATCACTAATATGAATAGTAATAGCTATTGATTTATATAGAATATATACTAGGGAGATTGTTGTGCGAACCCAGTAAAGATCACCTGTTGACACTTGTAAATAGGCTTTAAAAGTTGAATGTGCACCTTCTACACGAGAGGTTACAGTTGTTCCTAGATGAAAGTATAAATTTGTCCATGCAGCAACAAACTTTTCTTTTAATGGCAACCAAGTATCTTCAAGATAAGCAATAATACGGGATTTATTGGTGTAAGTAATACAAAATGCACTCCACTTTTCTTCAAACTCTTTTTCTGTTACTGATTGAACGATTTCATTCCATTTTGAGAGAAAAGATTTCCATTCATTACTCTTTGTATTTTCAGTTTCTCTTGGGAACTGTGGTTTACAGTTCTTTAAAATATTTTTACTGATATGCCACACACATAATAAGTTTACTGAATTCGGAAAAGTTATTTTAAGTGCATTCATAAGGGCAGTCTTCCTATCTGTTACAATAACACCTGGCTTTGGCACATCATTAAACAAGCGAGCAAAATGATCCAGAGCCCATTGGTAATCAATTTTTTCTTCCCCTTTCAAAAAGACAAAACAAGAGTAAAAGGTGGTATTAAAACTGGTAATACCAACAATGCACAACAAAGGCATTTTAAACCTGTTTGTCTTATAAGTACAGTCCATAAGAACAACAGAAGAATACTGACGAGTGAGGGCAATAGATTCATTATGCATGAAGAAAAGGTAGGTAATAGAGCCTGTATCATTACATTCATACTTATATGTAAAATTGCCTTCTTTAAGTTCATCTATGAGTGCTTGAATAGGGCTACGACCAGCAAGATTTTGTTGACGAAGCCATTCACGAGCATTATAAACATCTCTGTTTATAACTAATGTTGATGTATCATTATGACGAAGAGTTGACACAATTTCTCTGGGGCGAGAACCAGCTGCTGTCATTGCTGTAACAGTTTCCAACTGTTGCTCCGAAAGTTGACGAGCAATTGGATGTCCTGATATGTCATTATCAAAAATATGATTGTGCTCATTATTATAAACCTCCAGATGCCATTCATTATTACGTCGAGCAGCACGCAATTCATAGGGGCAGTTAATGAGTCTAAAACTTCCTTGTCTACATCTTGTTTCTTCATCAGGACCTGAAGAACTATTATAAACACCTCCTTTATCACAACATATATCCATATTTTTTAATTCACCACGTTGATTCTTTCGAGTTCTTTTTTTTACTAATGCAAAACCCTGAGAAATTGCATATCTTTGAACTGTTTGAAAAAGTTTATCAGCACTGTTGTATACTTTAGGAATCGGTAGATTCATTCTGTTGTAATTTTTAGAATTCGTCTTAACTTGAAGTATGAAATAATTTATAAGTATTTTTACAATATTTCACAACTTTAATGAATTGACTTTTTATAATTTATAGAGAAAAAAGACTAGTCTAATTAAATCTTTTCATTTTATTAAGTACATGACTTTGAATACACAAATTAAGATTTTTTAGAAACCGGTAAAGTGTTATTATATTATTCTTTATTGAATATAGAAGAAACTAAACTAACTTTATTTCTATAACTACAATCAAATTCCTATTATTAGATTGTTTAATTTTTACAGATAAGTTTTTTATTCTATTTTTGACTTCGATAATTAATTTTTATCACAATATTTTTACTTTCTCTGGCTAGAGATTATTAAGGCTTGCCACCTTTTGAAATCGCATTAAAATGATTGTCGCAGCTAAAGCTAGAAATTAGGGATAAAGCTTACCAAAATCCACTTATACTTTTTTTATTATTAACCTAACTCTAAAAAATTCTTTTAACAAAAGGTTTCAAAATTTTATATTAAAATAATTAAAATTTTCAGCTTCAGCCATTCTAGCCTTAACCGTGACAATGATTATGATTCTTTTTATTTTAATTATATATATCCGCCTATGGTAATCATTAATGCATGTTTCAGAGATGGTGCAATGTTTAAAATTTAGTATCAAAAATTGTGAACAGGTTATACAGATCTTAGTATGGCTCAGATTTTTACTCAAATTTTTGTGTTACATTTTACTTAATAGCGAAAGAAGTACTGAATACACTATATAATCTTAATTGTACAACTAATAGTTAGATATAGTGCAGAAATAAAATTCTTTGCTCTTTTTAGTCATTAGATAGGCATTAACTACTATTATGTTTTGGGCCTTGAATTAAATTTTTTTTTATTTATAAAATTAACTCTAGTTAACATAGCTTATATGGAACTCTATAATTATTCTGACACTTTTTATTATAATTTATTAACTTCTCTGTTTTAGTTATACAAGACAAGCTTCTATATTTACATATGTTTTAGAATGAGGCGTTAATTACTAGATTACTATTGTGTTTATAATTTTTAACAATTTCGGAATTTTTTATTTATATTTCGATAAAGAAAATGTAGTATATATACTATTATTACATTAAAATTTGTAAATTCGGTTGATTAAAAGGTTTTAAAGAAGTCTTATATTTAGTTAAGTATTAGAAAATAATCTATCATTACGTATAGATATGTAGCAATGTAGCATTGTGTCCTTTTAAGTATTAGTTATGTTTATCAATATGTTTAAAATAGTATATACGTACCAAGTATATATGTATGTACATACGTACGTACATGCTTGGGTCAACCAGTTAATTTTTTTATGAGGGATTATTTAATATTTATCATGTGATAGCCATCATCCAATCAAATTAGGATCTTCTTACATGGGGGGTATGGATAACAAATTTGGGGGGTACGTATAACAGCCACCTTTAAAAATATATTAATTATTAATTTTATAAAAAATCACTATATTTTTTATATTTACAAATACTTATTTATAAATTATTTTGATAAAAATTTTTTTAAATTTT